ACGAAAAGTAATTCGATGCTGTGTATTTGTTTAATGTTAAAATATATCTTACTGTCTTTGTACAATTAAATATTCATCTTACAGGCAAAGCTTTAAAGTCCAATTTTTAAAATTATTGACATTTTTATGATAACCTTATTTGATGAGCTTGGAGCAAGATAGGTATAATAAGAGGCACTTACTTTGATGACTTCATGCACGCTTCTATTCATGCGGAGGTGAGGTACATCGCCGCCTAACGATGCTCCGTGTAGAAAAGCTGTCAAAGCGGAAAATATCAAGCATAACTGGAAAAGTATGTGATACATATTTGTACTTATAAATTCCCATCCAATTTGTAACCTAACACCTTATTCCCTTAACAAATTTTCCAAGAAAGTATATAACTATATAGGATGATGCATTGATGAATTTATTACTAGCACTAAAATTTATGAATATTTTCAAATACAGTTCGTGTTTTTTTTTCATTAATATTATTATGCCTTTCCTAATAATAAAGCCTAGGGTCGGCGTTAATCCAATTCACAACACAATTGAAGCTCACCATTTCAAGTTTTTATTAACGCGAAACTCTAAATAAATGTTTGTATGATTCCTTATTCGCGTGTTAAATAGAAAAAAGGCGTAACTCAAAAATGAGGTTATTCCAAAATTGAACCTTATTATTGAAGCATAATTTTTAAGATTGAAATACTTTATCTTTTGAGTTAGGTCTCTTTTCTGTTTAACAAGATTGAAACTCAAACGAAAAAGACGCCAAATAGACACGTACATATCTATGTATCCATGTAAGTGTCTATAGTGGGCAAACAAATTTCAATGACACAGAATTATTCCCTGAGTCATTCAATTGAGTGACCATAGATTACTAATTTTTTGTTCACTATCCTTCACTAGGTTTTTCCATTACGTCTTATTAGCGACAAAAACAAATATATTGCTTATACATAGGTAGGTATAACCTACATTAAGCACGTACACATAATGTTAAGTATTTTAAACTTACACAAATTAACTAAATTGACTATTGTTGCGTGAGGAGCAGCGGGTTAGTGGAAGCCATTTGGTGTAAACTTCTGTCCACTTCTCAGAAACAGAGCCTGCAAGAAGGTAACTATTTTATTTATACATACATCTTAAACTTTGCATTTATTCCGATTTGTTATGAAATAATTATAAGAAAGTTAAATAAAAAAACTTTTGGTTTTATACATATTTTCATCACATGACCAAACTTTAAATAACAACACGGAAAACTCTTTGTGTAACTTGTCAATTCAAGTTTTAAATTTGGTCTAATGAATTTCATTTTGAGTTTTTTTGTTGAAAAAACAGTCCCGATAATGGTAAATCTATTTTACTTATATCAGCAAAATAGATATGTATTATGCATCATAGTGTTAAACAGAGTCGCTTTATGTCTATATACATCGCTATCTATGCTTAAATCTTTGAAACAAGGCAACGTATTTTGATGCGATTTTTAATATACAGATACAAGAAGGTTCATATAAATATACGTACCTAGTGGAGAAATTTAGTATTGCACCCGTGCAAAGCTGGGGCGAGTCATTACTTCATAACAAATCATACATAACCATTTACTATGTACTATTACATTATGCAAAATTTTGCTGTAGAAATTAAAAAGCAAATAGATTTTACGTTCAGCATTATATTTTGCTTTAAATAGAAAGTAACAAAGAAAGTCTTACAGTACCTACAGCAGGCTGTATACTGAAATACTCGGAGAATGTTAAACTTAACACCGCTCGATAGATGGCGTTGTACGGTTTCGCCAGCTTTCTGAATCGCGCTATGGTTTCGTTACCGCGAGAGAACTAGGGTTGTCGTGTTTCCATCGGCTTTAAACTCAGCCTCATTGCACTATCGAGGAATGAGTTCACATTTACTACAAGATATGAATACTTTGCTACTCACCTTGAATATAATTTTTGGAAGGGTCGCGAGACTCTCAAGTGTAACCTAGAAATCAAACTAAGGTAGAAATGTAATTTGAAAAACATTGCCTTTAGAGGCAGCAAATTGTCTATTCAGTAATAATATTGTTTATTAATTCTAATGTAGTTATGAATATCGGAGAAAATTTTATTTTATATTTTTCAATGTTATTATCAATTACTAGGAACCAAATTATATTGCGCCGCATAATATTAACCGTATAATATGATGCATTCTGACAATGTATTTCATTATAGTTAATAGACAGGATGTATTTTAAATTCAAATATCGAATAGTGCAAAATAATACTCTGATTGTTATCGTATTAACTGAGCTTATTGATATTGATTCCTTTTTTGAATAAAAATTGAATTCGTTAATTTTATTGACATTGTATTAATACATTTAATTTTTTAAAAGTACTATAAATTATATTAGGTATGTAGGTATATGTTCTCTTTTTAAATGCGCCACCTCTACGTAAGACGGATTTGCCATAATCACCGCATAAGTTCCCACTTGCCACAAGCGGGAACTTTTGCGGGAAACAGAATTCAGGTGAAGCTGGGGCCAGCTTCTAGTTAAAGCCAAGGTAGTTATAACGTGCAGTGTACCTAATTAATTATATCTCATCACTAAAATTTAATACAAAATAAATAAATCTTATGGGTACTTATAAAGAGATTTTTTTTATTTTGTAATCGAATTTAATTTCGACATCGATATCGCATATATGTATAATATCCATTTCGTTAAAAATTAAATATTCCTACAAATTTGATTTTCTTAAAAAAAACTTTTAGAGTATCGCACTAGAAAAGAAAACACCAATAGAACAATTGCAAATACCATTACACAATACTTTAAACAAATAAATAATTTCTTTTTCTTATTTCCGTTGGTTATTTTCCTTTCAGTCGAGGAATGAGTAAACTAAGAAATTACAGATACTTAACTTGGACGGACACTTGAACTTAATTAAAAATATTTAAACGAGTACTGAGATAGTGGCTTGTTGGTTGTGCTCTATAGGAATGTACACTGTGGATCGAGCCAACAGTTTAATTAATGCTTTGTCATTTAAAATTCTTTTAAATAAACATAGGCGTCGCTGTACGGGGTTGTGGGGCCGGCCCGTAGCAGGAAAAGGACCGAGATGGTACTTAGAAAAGACATTTTATAATTCACCCTCATCAACAAGGGCATTGACTATCTTTACTACCTGTGTATAGTAATGCGTGTGCGCATGTACTAGAGATAGTTATAAAAATGCACTTTTATTTAATTACTTGTATGTGCGAGCTCGTTGGTGGCATCCTGTTTACAGCTCGCCGCTCGTAAACCGAGTGAGAGCAGAACTCCCAGTGACGTCACACACCTACGTCACATACAACTGAATGCCCGGCCTTCCACCATACTATGTACGAGTATACATAATTAGACTGTAGTTTGTTTTGGGTTACAATGGGAAGTGGGTAGTTCGCGATAACCAGTCACGATTCACTACGGCCATCTACGAACAATACAATATGTTGAAATTGAAACATCGATTAATATAGGTACAGATGTAGATATATAAACGTATGGATCTTAAAATCTAGGCTAAGCGATGCGAACTATGCGCAATTTAAAACAAGCAACGCAAACTGCAAGAACAGCGCTGACTTCAAGCTGACTACATCTGCACTGAGTTCCAACCACCAGGTGAATGACCTTGGCAGATGAGCATCGCGTTGTCTTATTTCAAAGAGTGTATCTACATAATAATATGTAGGATGCGTAGACCCGTGGTGGTTGAGGGCCCGCAGAACGGGGAGCGCCGAGGGTTGGGGTGGCCCCTATACCGTGCCAACTTCAAGCTATTACCATTCGAGCTCTGTGATAAATTCCGCTATTCGTCGGTTCTAGACCTTCAACAAGAAAGTTTTGTAAAAACTGAGCTTACTTGTGTATGTGATGATATGACGAATATGAACATTAGTGTTTGAGCTGGTATCTTCAAGGCTCCTGTCTGTCGCTGATTATACAAAGTAGCACTAGTAGAGACTACAGCTTTTCTATGCACCTATTGGATTCTGGGAAATGTGTTCTACTAGATCGGAAGAGCGGTCAGCTGAGATTGAAGCCGGATTATCGTATAATACTCATTACATTATACATTGCGTTTTGTTAACCATGCAATATTGATATTGATATGATGCAACCCTGTTTTTTTAATGTTTTTGTTGCTTATAAGCTGAATTTTGAATGTTACACATATTTATGTTCGTTTCAATAAATTCCTAAATTTACAAATCGATAGTTCTTAAATGGTTGTTTTCAGTTACCTATCTAGGTTCCTATTTGTACCTACCTATGTAGTTGTAGATTTAACTTATCTACAAACAAAATAAGTCAATGTTCTATCTCTAGTGATGTCGTAGGAATCGGTCGATATTCAGCGGAGAGGCAATAAGATGACAGCTTTCCGCACGATCTCATGTCATTACCGCAGATTGTCCGCCACTTGATCACTTCAGTGTGTAATTAGCATGTACATAATGTGTATTAAAACTGGATGCGTAGTATTGCGGTTAACAAAATGCGGTTCAATTATTTAGAAGCGTGATAGGATCGTCTTCATTTCCACCTAACTTACTACCTGAGTAAGTTTATCCTCATTTTTGTTTTATGTGATAGATCGGCAAACTGGCAGACGGATAACCTGATGGTAGGAAATCAGCGCCGCTCCTTTACAACCACAACAACAGAGGAGTTATGAGTGTTTTGCCGACCTTTTGGGGATTAGGGATTCGTAGATTTAGGGATTGGGGAAGAGGAAGGATTGGGCCTCTGGTTAGACACACGGCGTAATACAACGCTGTGGTTGTTTCACGACGGTGTTCTGTGATGCCGTGGTATCACTTTGGTCGAGCCGACCGACCGTGCTGAAAAGCATGGCTCTCCCACACTTAAATATAATATTGATTATGTTAGCCTAAAAATTCAGCATGTTGAAGACAAGTTAGTGATATCGTGATCTTTTTGTTCTCAGGTGAGCACCATCTATTAGCTTCAAAGAAAACTTTTTGCCGAGGTAAGTGGCCTCTTGCTCTCAGTTCGGCATCACTCAGTGAAACTGCTGCGGTGTGACCACTTCTCGTGTATACCAGTGCCTTCTAAAGGGCAAAGGTCATTTTTATTATTCGATATACATTTATATTTTGATGTGCCACACTTTGTAACTTCATTTTCTACCTTCTTACCGCCTCAAACGTGACTCCACAGGCCACATCATATCATCATGCTGTAAGTGCCTAAGCAAAGGCCTATTCTCACACGGAGAAGGTTTAAAACATTGATCACCACGCTTGCTCAAGGTAGATTGGCGATTTCAAACTTATAAATAGAAATTATAAGTCCAGGTTTTCTCACGATGTTTTTTCCTTCACCAAGTACACATAACTTGGAAAAAGTCACATTACTGCTTGCCAGGTTTCGTACCCACATTCTCATGTATGAGAAGTGGATGCCTTAAGCTCCGGGCCAATAAGACTCAACTAGGCCCAATTGTTAGTGCAAGATATATAATCTAATAAAACTACGTCGCATTAGTGATATCAGTAGGGGCTATCTGGACGAAACTAGCCTACACCGGTACTTTCTAGGCACACAAGCATCGTCAAACCCCAAATAGCACATCTTAAATAATAACTACGCACCGTCAATAATATTAAATATTACAATGATCGCGCCGATGCCAAGGGCCAAGGTCTCTTATAAAAACAAGAATTTATGAACGAATAAGTTTTATCAATAATTACGTCGGAGAATATTTACTTAATGCTGTTATCTTACGTTGCGATGTGATATTGAGGAGCGTTCAATATTGGATCTTAACATTGCAATAGGATTCACGAAGAATATGTTGATCATTGCTATATGAATATCATACCAAACTTACTAGCTTAATCAGCTATAGCGTGATGTTTTGTAGCCTATAGCACTCAGGAACGTTGTAGCTATTTATCAGTGAAAGAATTTTGGCAATCCGACCAGCGGTTCCAAAGATTACCCCCTACATACAAACTTACAAATTTCATCTCTTTATAATATTAGTATAGATATAAAAAAATATAACCTTACCTGACAATCTGGTTTTCAGCAACTCGGTTTTGATTACAGTCCTTTCACTCTTCAACAGAGAGCCTCAATGACATATGTATTCACAGGGTATATCAAAAGTCTACTTTTTCAGGCTGTTGCTTGAATCGCTGATAAAGCTAATTGGCGGCGACATACGAAATAAAAGCACCTACAACAGGTCAAAAACAAATGACAACTGACAGAATATTTTTGTATTTTGTTTTGGATTGTCGAATATGGATGGAAATAAATTGAATTTCGTTTTTTCGCCTAACCAGTGGATTTCAAAAGGCTCGGCTGACTATTCATGACGGTAAGCTGATGCAAATAAATACAATCTGAAAATATGTCCACATTTTTTCGCACATGAACACTATTCCCTGGTTATTATACTAAGTAACCATTTATTTAATAAATTTCATTCGATTGTAATCGATTACCTAAATACGTATCGCTTAATTCGGTTGCATACAATCACGAACAGTTTTTCACAATCTGTTTATCACATTATCGCTATAAAATGTATATTACGCATTTGATAGTACAATATACTCGTGTTTTTATCTGTTACGATATGAAATGTAAAAAATAGTACATGTTATCTACAATGGGTAGTGAGTCACTGCGCTTGAGTTTGGTCCAGTTAACCAAGTGCTCCTGTCTTGACACCAGTGCGACGCAGTACCACCATACATATATACCATACAACAAGCATCATAAATAAATTTTATCTTACTTATATTATAAATGCGAAAGTTACGATATTTGGATGATTGATTGTTTGTTACTCTATCACGTCAAAACGGCTGGACGGAACTGAATGAAACTTGGCACAGGCATAGGATACACTTCGGAATAGGACATACGCTATTTTTTATCAACATACGACGCGGGCGAATCCGCGGTTGGAAGCTGCGGACATATGTCCATATCTAGTGTATGCATGATAATGGAATATACCCTTAATCATTTTGTCTGAAAGTACTATACTGTCTTACAGGATTTAACGCGCACGTAGCTTTATCTTTATTTCATTTTTGCTTGAATCCCTTAAATCAGTAAAGTATTAACACTCGTATGCAACGCGAATGTTTTAAGTATAATATCGCCTGAAGATGTTGCGAACTACCTACATACTTATTTAAAATCAAACAGCTTGATTCTTAATTACATTTTCGACGTCTCTCGTGAGTTAGTGAGTGAGGTTACCGGAGGTCCAATCCTTCCCCTACTCTAATCCCTGAATCTCCGAATCGGTCGGTCGGCAACGCAGTCATAAGTCCTTTGTTGTGTCCATGAGCGGTGCTGATTGCTTACCATCAGGTAATCCGTCTAATTGTTTGCCAACCTATCACAAAAGAAAAAACCTAACTAACGACCTGAGTTAGGATTTCAGCCATTCAATCAGACTAGTAATTTAGGCCGTAATAAGATGGGACTTATTTGGCCAGTGGCCGGCCAGGTTTTTTGGTGCGAGTGCAAAGATGTATGGCCTGATTCGAAACAGAAGTAGCAACAGAGTACATTGAGTCGAAAAGAGTCTGACAATCGGGTTGTAAAAAATGAGATGACGATTGAAATAAAAGTTGGATAGGTTCTTTCTATATGCTAAACTTGGATAGTTGAATTCTAAAATAAATAAGGAGAAAATAATTCGAATAAAATACAAGCAGGACACTAAGCTTAGCTATGTATAAATATCTAGTCCTCGTGGACGCACGATGAGTATGAGAGTCGCGAAGGCGGGTCGTGCAGGGCAACTCGTAAACATGAGTTTTTGATGTCTTAGTCGGACAACGAAATTTATTTGTTTGGTGCGTAGCTGGAAAAATTTATGAACTACGTACACTACGAGTATACGTAGTTCATAAATTTTTCCATACAACCTTTTACAACAGAATACTAGACCAACAATTATGCCATGGTGTTTTGTTGTACGTTGTGACCGTTTTGCACTAAACTCAATTTTTATTTTACGTAAAATAGATTTTAGTATTCGCACTATCCAGAATATGGATGAATTCTAAAATTGTATTCTTTCGTGGAAATGTATTCACCTTTTTCGTTTATGATCCAAACGTAGTGCCTCGATGCGATCCGGTCCCATCGTAGCGTTGGGTACGTCAGTAGAGAGCACTTGAGTGTTGTGTATGCGTTAGGTGCGCAAGCGCTGAGCGCCGGTCACGGGACGGCGCAAACGTCGTAAGTATTTATAATCGGGTCGGTGAGCCATTCACAGCAAGCGACGGATGGCGGCCGCCACGGAGGCGCGCTGACCACCGCGCACTGTTGGATTGCAGCCATCGAAGACAACGATTGAGTGCGCTACCGCGCTTCGTTACACGTCCTCTGATTGAGCTCTGCTTCACTTTTCATTCATATTTTGAGTACGACATCTGATCAATGGAATTATGGGCCATAAAGAGCGCGTAGTGATAGTGCAGGCTGAACATCTTGCCAGCGCACCTTGATTGCTAAGGCGGCTGCGAATATAGCGTTTCGTAGACCGACATACTATCAACAAATAATGTATTATGTTTACATACATATGTGCTCTATTTGTAACTGCCATTAGCTACGATTCCGGTGTGCGTCGAATACCGACGGCCGAATGCCGAAGAAAAATAGGCCGGGACTCAGTCGACAATGATCCAGACGGGCCGCCCCACGTATTTCTTATGTGGCTCCGTGGCAGGTTGGCGGTGCGCCAATCATGTCTCAACTGATTGATTCTACTAACACGTATTACCAATAATGTTACTGCACGGTTCAGAATGTATGAGCGGCCCGCAGCCGGCTACCGTGATAAAGCCTGCTTAAGATCAATATGAAGACAATACCTGCGACTGGTGGTTAGAAAGGTCCTTTTAAAATCCGAAAGATTTTATTTAAGTTCCATGCTTTGCAGTAGGAAAACAAAAAATGTGTAGTCACGACTGAGGAGATGGCTGGCACAGTCGGCGTTGTCAAAACAACAGTATATACTAGTTTGTAGTAGGTGGGTTGATAGCGGTTGTCGGCGGATGGCGGCAGCAGGCAGCGGCTCGCACCAGTAACCGTTTAGAAGGAGTTCACACACGTGATAGCAGTGCCGCAATCAAACGCGTCACAGGAACTGTCCATTAGTTATTATTGCGTCTGTTGTTCTCTCGTTTGCCATGTTGTGGCTGACGTCCTAATTGTGTGACAGGATAGTAGCCCGCTGTACTTCTTATTACCAACACAGTACATACAAACAATCTGTCCAAATTTCGCATTAACGTATTCCTCAAGTATCAATAAATTGTACTCATAATCTGTTGTTTGAGAATTGATATTGACGTTTTAAGAATGTTTGGTACGTATTGAGTATCTATACCAGAGGCTATCTTAAACGCCCCATCTCCATTTCCCCCAATTCTCAAATCTCAACCACCAAGAGGCGAACTACTTGCAACTCAGTGTGCAAGCGATCTGGCTGTTTGTTAGCCGCACTGGTGCCATAAAAAAACTTCTTACTTTACTAAAATGGGACATCATAATTATAAAAAATTATATAAAAGCAGTAAATTAAAATAATTATTTCTGTTACAATCGCTAAAAAAACCAGTAAAATCAAGATTCAAAATAAGTACGTAGCACCGATTCTTTGTTATCAGCAAATATCCTAGAATTGCACATTTTGAAAATCTTCCCCTAATCACTAAAATGCCCAGAATCTTTTTTAGATTTTAACCTCAAAGAACAGTAGCGGACTTAAATATTACATTATCTGTTCCGTGTTTTCTTCTGTTCTAAATATGGAAAGAACCGTGTTATCCCGAATTTAACGCGACCGAAGCTGTGGGTAAAAGACACCTATACTAATATTATAAAGAGGTAAAATTTGTAAGTTTGTATGTAGGGGGTAATCTTTGGAACACAATGTTCCTGAGTGCTAGTGCTAGGCTATAGAACGTCCAGCTCCTATTA